TGGTAGACCTGAAGGTCTTTCCACCTTGCTTTGTTTGTGGTGATCTCTTATATGAATTTGTGTGTGCGTGTGTGCACATGTGTGTATGTGTGTTCACGTGTCTGTGTGAACATGAACTATATGCTTGCACATTCATGTATGTACTCATGTGTTCATGTGTGCACATGTATGTATGCACAGAGGCCAGAGGACAACTTGTATGTCATTCCTCAGGAGTCACACCTCCTTGCTTTTTTGAGGTATGGTCTTTGCTAGCCTGGAACTCAACCATCAACTAGGCTGGGCTGGCTGGCCAGTGAGCCTCAGAAACCCTCCAACCTGCTTCCACCTGCCCAATTTTTCTGGCACGCAACAGTGGACATAACACAATGTCTAGCAGGGAAAGCCCAACCCAAGAAGCAGATTTACAAGACTAGAAATGTATACATTTTGGAAGAACCTTACAAAAAGTACAAAATTGCAGATATAAAATAGCAACACAAAGTATATACTTATTTGCAATTATAACATGAATAAAAATAAATAACAAATTTTGGTTCAGCAAATGCCGTGATGATTACAAAACCTGAAAAACATATATTATATGAAAAACGTTAATTATAAACAATTATTATATAATTGGCATAATTCTATAGTATATATCTCCAAACATTTTTTAGTTGCAAATAATAGCTGCCTTTACAAAAAGGTTTATTTTTACCTCTGTGTGTGTACACATGTGTGCGTGCACACGCACACATGGGCCTGTACAAGTTTATGTGCACCATATGTGTGCCGGCACCCAAAGAGGTCAGAGGACACCAGAGTCCTGGGAACTGGAGTAGCGGGCAGTCATGAACAGCCTGATGGACTCCCAGGCTGAACACAGAGCTGTTTCTTCTGAGAGCATCAGATGGAATTATTTTCCTCTTTATTATTCTGAGGGTTACAAGTGGGTTTTTATATTGCAAATTCAAATCTCTTTTATCTAATATTAATTCTTCTCCCAGGTTTGAGTTATTCGATAAAAGCTTCCCAGAATGCACCCTGTGTGTTTCAGGGCTGCGTTATTCTGCGGGGCTTGGAAGAATCGGCTCCTCATACTCAGAGATGTTGTTTGTAATAATCCTTGAGCGTTACTGTTTGTCTATTTCAATCTATCTGTGAATGAATGATTTAAACAGTGAAACGGTCAGGACTCTCTCAGTTGCAACAGATGGACAGATGCCGTCACTCTCGGGTAACTTGCAGAGAATGAAGGGGAAATGGCTGTGGCTCATACAACTGTGATGTCCAAGTTGGCTTCTGAGTTCAAACACAGTTGAATCCAAGGGCTTAGGAGTCGGTGGTGCCTTTCCTTCAGTCTCCCAGCTCTTCCTCTTTAGAGGGGCAGCGAGGCAAACAGCAGGCTGCCATTCCAGGCTTGTACTGCCACAGCTACACTTTAAACAGAAGGTGACCTGTCTTACTCGACGCGTTCTGCTAAACACCGCGGAGTGACTGGGATTAACTTTGTCTTGGTCTCAGAACCATGGCTCATGTCCTTCTCTTGTAGTGATTGCTATGTTAGATCATCGAGGGGCAGGGACTCAGGCATCATCCTCTGTATTTACTCTTCAATTCTCATAATCAGAATAGGAGATTTTCCCCAAAACGTACAAGAAGGCATCCTAGATAAATAATAACACACGTGTCCCCTACAGAGGTAGAACTGAACATTGCTAACTGGTGAAAAGAGTCTTCGCAAACCTTCACATTCTTCCTGGCTTCTCAAGTTCTCAATGTTTATCCCTGCAGTGCAGAAGTCACTTAAAGTTAGCCTGTGCCCAGCATCTTTGATATTATATATTGCTGCTATATTTCAGGTAGGCTCTTGTAGGTAATTTTCTCACAAAACACTGTCCGAGGCTGAGATTTATGTAGAGTGTGGCAAGAGGAGAAAGCAGTTCTCAACAAAGGAGGGAGTCAAATGGCCAGAGAGTGGTCTTGTGAGGCTTTGAAGCATGGATGGATGGCCCTCTAAAGCTGTTCCATTGAGGTGAGGGGCTCTAGCCCTCTTTTGGTCACATATTGAACAAAAGATGTCTGAAGGAGTGGTTCTACGGTTGACGCTGGTCCTGGAGAGGACTCAGCTGCGAGCCATTGAGAGCCAGTGGTCCCAGCAGCTGGAAAAGTGGATTGCGAGGTCCTGAAGGGAAATCCAATAGCACCACACTGTATCCACTCAGGTCAGTTCCTGAGTAGCAGAAGTGAGACTCATGCAATCCCGGTATTTGAATCCCTCAGGCAAGTGTGGAGCAGGCAAAGCCTTAGATGTGCTGCTACTTGATGCTTCCTTTTCATGCGTTTGTGTGTGAGCATGTGTATGCACAAATGGAGGCAAGAGGTTGATGACAGGTGTATTTCTAAATCACTTCCCACTTTTTTTTTTTTTTTTAAATTTTGAGACAAGGCCTCTCACTGAACTTGGTGCTAATTGCCAGACTGGCTGCCAATAAACCCCAAAGCTCCTCTGTCTCTGCCTTCTCAATAGTAGAATCTTAGGCAAGCATCACTATATCTGACTTTTAGGTGGGTACTGGGGATCAACTCCATTCATTCTTGGTTCCTTGCCAGCTCCGCAACACCCTAATTCATTTCTAATGAATCAGGTGACTTCCCATTTAGGCTGAGCCACTGATGTCTTTACAGCAGAGGTGGCAACTGACTCCCAAAGAGCTATGTTTGGAAAGCTGGCTGAGTCTTGCTTGACTACGATCGTTTTAAAATTTTTATTTATTCATTTATTTTTCTATGCCTGCGTGTTTTACCTGTATGCATATATGTGAACCCATATGTGCCTGGTGCTCACGAAGACCAGAGAAGTGTGTCATATCCCTTGAGACTGGAGTTACAAACAGTTATGAGCAGCTATGTGAGTGCTGGGAATTGAACCCGGGCCCTCTAGAAGAACAAGCAATGAGCCATCTCTCCATCCCTGTTGGTTTTAAAAACTTAGAACCAGGAGCTGTTATTGCAAGGGACCCAGGTGTAATTGCTAGCACCCACATGGCAGCTCACAATCATCAAGAACTCCATTCCCAGAGGAGCCAATGATCTCTTCTGGCTTCCTCAGGCACCATGCCCACAGGTAGTACACATGCATGCCTGCAGGCAAACACTCCTATGCATAAAATAAAAATAATATATATTTAAAACTTTAAGCCAATACTTAAAATCTGGGGATTTTGCCCATAATCAAATCTGAATTGCTCCATCTCTTGAAAAACATCAATAAATAAAACAAAATGAAACAAGGAAAGAGATGATCAAACCACGCAAAGATGTGTTCCTGGCCCCACTCAGCTCCAGCTGGACAGCAGCCGCCTCCAGCTCCTCCCTCTCCCACACTGGTTGATAAAGCACACTGCTGCCTCCACTCACTTGTTTCCTGCCTGCATCTGGTAACTTCTAACCCTGGTTATAAAACAGCTCTTCTGCCTGCTGGTACTGGGAATCCAGTGCAAGCCATTGGAAGAAAGGAAGGGTTAAAGGTGGGGCACACTCAAGGTAGGAGCAAAAAAGCCCAAGGTTTTCCATAACATCATGGTTCTCAAGGAAGAGAAATTAGGCTTTATTGTCTTTGTCAGCATCACTGACAAGCTGACACCTCTACATTACTCTCCATAGTTTCATTTCTGTTGCTCAGATTAAAAAAAAAAAATCCTTACCAAAAGCAACTTAGCAGAGAAAGGATTTATTTGGTTGACTGTCCCAGGTGATAGTCCATCACTGAGGGGAAACCGAGGTAAGAACACAAGCAACTAGTCTCATTACATCTATTATCAAGAGCAGAGAGGACAGAAGCACATCCTTGCTTTCTTCCTTGCTCTCACCTCGTATTCTCTTATACTATTCCGGACCCCTCCCCCTACCTCGGGAATGGTGCTGCCCACAGTGGCCTGGGTCTTCCTATAGCAATTAACAACAAAGACGATCTTTCATAGACATGCCCAAAGACCAACCTGATCTAGAGAATTCTTCATTAAGACTCTGTTCCCAGATAACTCTTGGTTGTGTCAAGCCAACCTTCAAAACCAATCATCACAAATGTGTTACGGTTTGTGACTGAGATGGTTCAGATTGAATCAGCAGTCACCTTTCCCGCTGGCTACTCATCTGTTGCCAAGAGGAGATGCAGAAGAAGCCCCTCTCCTCAGGGGCTGTGGATGCTGCCAGGTAAAACTGTGATATGAGCCCCTCAGAGTCTTCTGTTTGAGACAAGCAGCAACAACACAGTTTTAGAACCTTTTCCTCTACTGATTGCCAAGGCATGCTGATGGGAGCTCATGGCAGCCTGCCTCTGATAGAAGTTTGCTTCCGACTCACAGCAGGTGAAAAAACCCAGAGGGGAAAGAATGAGAATTGCCCTCTCCAGATGTAGAGACCCACAGGCAAACATTACATGGAGTTCGGCAATCCTGCAAAAGAGGATAGGGGAGCGTAGAGGCCAGAGTGGTCAAGGACACCCCAGGAAGGCTTGCACAGTCGAAAAACCTGGACTGACATTGAACCGACAACCAGGGAGCCTGCACGAGACTGCCCTAAGCACTCTGCACATATGTTACAGTTGTGTAGCATGGTCCTCTATGGGTCTCCTAACAGCAGGAACAGGGGCTGCCTCTGACTCTTTGACTGGCTTTTGGGACCCTGAATGTCATACTGGGTTTCCTTGCCCAGTCTTAATTCATGGGGAGGTGCTTAATCGTACTGTAAGTTGATATGCCATGTTTTGTTGATACTCATAGGAGACCTGCCCTTTCCTGGATGAAGATGAAAGAGGAGGGGATGGGGGGATGGGAGAGAGGGACTTGGAGGGGAGGACTATGGAGGATGTCAGCATGTAAAATCAATAGAAGAATTTTAAAAAAATAAAAACGAATTCGCCTTTTAGTTGGGCAGTGGTGGTGCACACCTTTAATCCCAACACTTGAGTGGCAGAGGCAGTCAGATATCTGTGGGTTCGTGGCCAGCCTGGTCTACACAGTAAGTTCCAGGACAGTTAGGAATACACAGGGAAACTCTGTCTCAAAAGAAAAAGAAAATGGCCTCTCCAGAGCAGCAGAGGGACTGCAGAGGTAGACAGAAAAAGAGAAGTAAACTTTCTCAGTAGACTATGACAGTGTCTCCTTGGTTACATTCCTGCCACTGCCATGGACTTGTCGAGTAGGCTAGGTGGAATGGCCGCCTCTCAGTTCTGAAGTTACGAGTGTGGTCCGCCACACCTGGCTGTTTAAAACCTAGTGCTGGGGCTGGAACTCGGGTTCTTGTGTTTGCAAGGTGAGTCCTTGCAAGGTGGGCTATCTTCCCCAGTCTGTCTTACTAACTTTAAGACTCCCAAAGCCTTCATCCTGATTGCTAATTTAATCATGCCTGCCATCAGTCATGTCTTCTGACTTCAATAAATAATAGGCTTAAACTACAGAACTGCTTATACGTGGGAGGAATCTCCCTTCCTGAGTTGAGGGTGGAGCCAGCTGAGCCATCCAGGACTTCATTATACTGAGTACTCACCCTGCTCCACAGAGGGCTGGGTTTCTGCCCCCACCCCATGCCTCCTCTTGGCGCATTACTTCCGGTAACATATACATTTCTTAATGTAATGGGTTCATTAGTCTGTTATAGCTTTTCCATAGCTAGAGTAGGGCCTGAGCAGTGATGAATGGCTTACCACGCAAGTAGCTTAAGTGTAGGTCTTCATAGGCGGCAGCGGTACCTTAATCAGGAAGACCAGAGGGCTGGCAGCGGGGAGGGAAGAAGGAAGGACATTGGGCTCACCAGAGACTTTCCTCCCCTGGGTCTCCTGACTCAGAAACATTAAAAAATCTAATGCGGCTTTATTCTCCATCCTCCTTTAAGCCTTAAACGCCTGTCTTTGGGGCACGGAGTGTAATAGACTGGGGCTTTAGGACCAGTTTCTCTGAGAAGCAGCCGGTGTTCAAGAAGGGCCCTTGACACTGTTCTGACTTAATGCTAGACACATCTGCAGCTACTTGGACAAAATTGACATTGTCTGGAGTGCAAAGCAATCGCCTAGTGCAGCATTAGGGAGCATTTACTCTTGAGCCGTGCTACCAGACAGCAAATCTTGACCTTTAGGAGTTCAGAGATTAGATTTCGCGGCTGCAGGCATTGAAGATATTGTTAGGAATTTGTTGCTATTCAAAGCAGATTTCCAGGGTTACCTATGGGTTTAATTCATCGCATCAATCATTTTTTGGAAGGTTCTTCTAAAGCCAAGATAGCTTCAAATAAAAACTAGGATTACTTTCCCATTGATTGTCAGTAGTCGGTGAGGAGCACAGGGGACACTCTTGAGACGCTGTTAAAGTTTCTGTGTTGGTTCCTTCTCTGGCCAGTGGCCTGTGGAACCAGAGAGAAAAGGCATGCTTCTCCAACTGGCATTCAAAGCAGTTGCTGAAAGATGCACGGGAGGCGGGGATCAGGATTTGGCTGCTCTCTGATGTGGGTTTCTCAAGCCCCTTAACACATTCGGTGCATAGATGGCTCACAGGTTATCTCAAAGTGCATCATTTAAAGCAAGACCCATTTAAGCCAACAGAGGTTAAATGGAGGCTTATGTCACAGAGTCTCCCTACACCGTACGTGTGTGTGTGTGTGTGTGTGTGTGTGTGTGTGTGTGCGTGCGTGTGGATGTGCAAGCTTGTTTTCTGCACAGGTCAGTTTCTCAGCTCTACTAGCCTTCCTGATCCCAGGGCTGCCTGAAAAAGACTTCTTAGGAGGTCTAGAAAGGACTCACAGGGTGGGCTTCTCATTTTTACTTACCGTGAAATTACTATGACGCCCCCTCAACACGGTTCTTCAATTCACAGTTGATTAAACACCTTGAAGGCTCATCTCCGCCTCTCTTCTCCATGCCCCAAACCTGCGGACATCTCAAAGAGGGGGCTTGTACTGGATGCTTCTCATAGCACTGACCTCTTTTTGCAACTGCAAGATATTAAGGAGAATCATCAAGGCAGGATGACACCAATAGAAGCATCTCTAGAACCCGGGGGCGGGGGGCGATGCAATAGAGGGGGAGAAATACTAACCCAGTGGAGTAACAGATGTTCAACATAATGAACATGTAAGCCAGTATGTTGGAATGGAGTCCCAATGACAGAAAATGTGGGTATCATAAAAATACATTTTAAAAAGATCTTTGTCTAAAATCACCACCATTTAAAAGCTCCATTTCTGGAAAGAAGCTTTGTTATAAAGAAAAAAAAAAACATAGCTTTGGGGGAGGGTATTGCTCAGTACTGCTTGCTAAGTTAGGTTCTTTCATGGTGGTTGCACACATGGTGGGGCAGCGTGCTTGTTGCAACGCTTCGCCTGGTTCTCTGGCGAAGAACTTCAGCAGGGGAAATGCCCGTGATTCACATTCGCTTCTTCTCCATCCAAGCAGAAGACGCGCTGCCCGGAGCATTCTTCTGGTCGTCTGCAGAAAAGCTCTCACATGCCTCATATACCCGTGGAGTGATCATTGCTGGCCCCTGGGCAGAGAGAAAAGTCAGTTTTCCCCAGTTCCACATCGGAATTTGGCGGAGCTTACACAACCACCAAAGCACATAGCTGGGAGTCTGATTTAAAGGTTCACCCAAGTCCCTGCAGGCCAAACCACAGCTCCAATGTGGGTGTGCAAACTGAGGCACAAGCCGCTAAATCATTTTGAAAGAGATGCAGAAGACAGGCAGAATAGTTAGTCTGTCCTCTGTCCACTGGGCCTCTACTAACCCTCACTCTCAGTATTCTCCGGGGACTGTGTCTGTATTAATAACCACTGTGAACTTGTAACTTACCACATATAAATATGTAAATATGCACAAATATGTACATTGTAAAGAATGATTGCTGATCGCCTTTGCTCTTACAGAAACATAGCCACGCATGCATTGCACAAGTGGTTGAATGCTTCTGTCAGACTTTGAAGCCTGCGTGGTATGTGGTCATGGTGTCTCTCGGTCAGGACAGATTGACTGGGACGCTCTCTTGGCTAATCAGAGCTTTTCAGAGGAGGGGCTGAGTTTTCAGCAGACTAGGAGAGATGGGGGTTGCCGCTCTCAGATGTCAAGATAAGAGTGCTGTTTCTTCACAGGAAATGTAACCCTGCAGCTGCTGAGCTTGAGAAAACGGGAAACGGGCCAAGTCCGGTGTTTTGAAAACAAGGTGTTAGTGAATAGGTTGTGTAGGGCTCACTTCAACTTTTTAGATTTTTAAAGCCCTTTTAATTACAAAGGCGTGGCATCTCTGTTGCAGCAAATTAGGAGGGAGATCAGTAAATATAATGAAATGACATCCTTCTATAATGTTCAACTAACTAAAGATAACATGAAAAAATAGATTGGGAAAGGTTTGGTTAAAGAAAAAGGTCATGCTGTGGATTCCATCTTGTAAGTGACTTGTTACCCTAACGTGGCAGAGTGCCCCCCGTCCCCCGTCCCCCGTATTCTGTGTGAACTGAGCCTGCTGTCTTCTGTGGCTCATGAATGCACTATGCGTCTCTTCATTGGGTTTAATAACTTCCCTACTGTGTTTCTGCTGAAGATCCCTCAGCCACGGCAAGATTGGGGCGGGGGGAGGGGGAGGCTTGTCATGCTATCTTCCAAAGCAGCATCCTTGAATCTTATCCCAGATCCTAATGACCTTGCTGAACAAAGGGACAGGTTCCATTCCTTATCTTCAGGCCAGGCTTGCAAACCCCAGGAGACTGTGCAGAATGACACACAGAAAGAGCCTCCTAAGTCCCTGGCCGTGGAGATTCCTGTTCCCTTCTCAGGTGAAAGCTAAGTTGTGGCACTAAAAAACAAACTGGGTAGTATCTGCTGCCCAGAGGGACTTCCTCCTCTGCTTTAGTCATGACCCTGGTTGATCTGCTTAGCCCTTATTTTCCTTTTAAAAGGTGTGTGTCACCAGGCCTGAATCTTCCTGCCACCCCCCCCCCCCAGGTTGTTACTTTATTTTATGGGTCTTGGTATTAACCCCAATGTATGCACCACCTGAATGCAGTACCCACAAAGGCCAGAAGAGGGCATCACACCCCACCCCTCTAACCCCAGGGCTGGAGTTATAGACTATTGTCAATGGCTGTGTGAATCCTGCATGGATCCTCTGGAAGAGCAGGGGCAGTGCTTGTCACTGCTAAGCCATACTGTACTCATTCTAATGCTTCTTGGAGGATCAAGATGGCTGAAGTTCTGAAGCTGTCATAACTCATCAAAGATGACCCCAATAGTGAATCTTGGTACTAGATCTGAACCCCTGGCTTGTACTTCTCATCTTCCCTGGTTCTATTCTTAGGTGGTTTGAGGAAACAAGGGGGAAAGAAATAACAAAAAAGTAAGAGCAAAAGCAGAAACAGACCATAAATGACAGCTATTATGGTTCTGGCGGCCTCTGCCGCAGGCAGGAATGGGTAGGTGGCAGCCTTGTTCGGCACTGGGCATTATGTCAGCTTATCTCCACTCCACACACTCCTCTCAAGAGCTAGAAGACAGAGAAGCAATTTTTCAGGCAAGAGCTTCAGAGCCAGAGGTCTCAAAAGACCAAAACATTTCTCTGCAGGTTTTTATAAGCACTCCGAACTCAACTGTATGCTTTAAGGATATGCAACCCTTGCAAGATCTACCCTCCCACCTCAAGGTGACTCCATTCCTCAGGGAGAAGAAGCCCCTGGTGTGAGGAGTCCCTGGTTTCATCTTCACACGGTAGGTGAGTTCCAAAGTTTCCCGGAACTAGCCACAGCAGATAAAAGAAGACCAAGGACGGTGATTTCCACTCTCTGGAAGGAGGGGTTTCTTATGCTCAGATAGGCTCTGTCTCTAGACAGACAACACGGCTCTGGACTGAGGGTGAAGAGCACACCTGGCTCTGCCTTGAATTACGTTTCTTTCTTTTATCCACTCTGCCTTTTGAAGTCACAATGCTTCTGGCATGATTTTCTCTCCATAGTCAAGAGGGGGAGACTTCTTTAAGTGACGCTATGGAAATGAGAAATTTGAAGAAAGTAGATCACAGGTATAACTGGCTAGTATTCAGTAGGAGCAACATCAATGCTCATGTCTCCCTCTACCCCCGAGGTTACACTAGTGAGGACGTTAACCCACAGACAGGGTCTCTCACCTTAGACTCCCCAACTCAGGGAGAGTCTATGTTTTGGGGAATTTGGGGTGGAGAAGCTTACTGCTGACGTAAGCAAAGCTCAAACAAAAATGCTGATGCAACGGGCATTAATAACTTACCTGGGTGTCCCTGATGTGACCTTGGGCTTGGCAGCTTTTCTCTGCGAGAGTGGCCACAGGTTGGATGCGGGGTCTCTGTGGCCCCTCTGGAGTCACAGCAGTCTCGAAGCATCCTAGGTGTTTGCTCCAGAGATTCACCATCTGCCCCCCATTCTCTCCGAAGCACAGGTGACAGCTGAGGATGGGGTGCACGTGAGGGACAGATGCCACGCTCATTACAGGGTGCCACTTTGCCACGCTACTTATCCCTAGAGTCAAATCACCTCCCACTCACTGTCAGTGTCCCGCCCACAAGGAAAAGCAGACGCCTGGAACGACCCATCTTCCTGAACTGCAGGGCAAGGCTGGCAGTCTCTGCAAGACGGCCAACTGGCAATCTGCTCTAACTGGCACGCAGAGTGTTTTGCCCTTCCTCGCCTTCATCAGGCAGCATGTGTGTATGGAATGTCTCCCTGGAGTCTGCTAATGGCACCTTTGTCCTCGGAGAGTTGAGGTCCAGGAGAGCAGAGTTCCTTTGCCACTCAGGGCTGTCCACTGTCGTCTGGGGGAGAACAAAGGGCTGTCATCTGACTGCTACCTGAATGAGAGGAAAGTCTGACTTTCTCGGGAATGGTGGGTGACAAAGACCTTGACTGTACACTGGGGAAGACCTCCTAAGACTTCAGACCTTAGCAAAATAACTCCTTCCTAAAAAAACAAGCCAATCGCATGATGCCGGGCTTACTAATGAATCAAACCCCGAATTCCACCCCCCCTTCCTGTGCCCTTATTTAAGGCTCTTCTGTGACCCAGCCCTAAAGCAATTTGGCATTTTCCTCTTTGTCCATCTCCTCCGAAACTCAATTCCTCATTTTTAACTTCCATTTTAAAGTTTTCCACTCAGGAGTTCACTTTCATCTAAATTTGATTCTAGCAGAGCAGGTAATTCTACACACAACTGTGGCCGACAGTGTCAGGGTCCCCTTGGGAAAGACTGCCGGCCCCTGAGGGTCGTGACAGGGGAGAGGAGAGAAGGAGAGAAGGGATGCTCACTGAAGCAGCCACCCAGTCAAGGTTAGTCCAGGTCCCCAACCTGGAAACCCCCAAGTGAGACAAACCGGGAATTGTTTGAAGTTTCCAGCAAACTCACTGGGTGGCCAACCAGTCCTGAGTTGACATATATTTATTTATAGCTTCACATTTATCTTACGTTATATGAATATTTATACATTTCATTAAAGAAATATTAATACATTTAATTCCAGATGCTACCACATACCCAGTTTGGGTGTTATGTAATTTATGGAAAATGCCCCAGATTACCTTTCGAGAATTCAAACATTCTTAATTCCTAAGCAGAATGGCACCAGATTTCTTTCTCTGGGGTATGGAAGGAGAGTGTTTTCCTTCCCAACCTGTCTTATTATCATTCACAGGAATGATTTTTCCTTCATTTTCTGAAGAGTCTAAATAAGGTGATTTTCTAAATTTCTTTTCTTTCCTGTTAGCTTAGAAATAAATACTCTAGCTCCTAACACCCAAAATCAGCTTTTATCTCATGAACACTATGCCCAACACCTTGGGTATTTTCGTAATTAAAAGATGTTGCTAGATATTTTTCTTAAATGTTATGTGTTTATCATCTTTTTAAAAACAACCTTATTGAGGTATAATTTGCATATCTTAACATTCATTTGTGTTGAGTGTATGAGTCCACGATTTCTCGGTATGTATGCAGAGTTGTACATCGTTAGAATCTAGCCATCCTACATTTCCTTTATGCCCTGCAGGGAAGCCTCTAGCCGCTCTGAGGTCATTGTCATTCCCACTTCTGTCCACCACCCCTCTTCTGACATGCCAGGCACTGTGCACTCAGTCGTCCTCACGGGGAAACTGAGGTTAGCACAGCACGGAAAAGATGAAGCTGAGATTTGATCCATGTCCTTCAGGACCCCAGACTTCACCAACTTACTGAAGCTGTCTGAGGAGATGGAGAGTCGTTTTTCACCGAGCCAAGACCCGCAAAGGGGATTGTGACCTTTAGGCTGCAGTCAACTGAGAGTTCCTGGGGGGGGAGGTGTCAACAAATTCATGAAATGCCTCCAGTTAAGCCAGGGACTTACTTTAATGACTAGATAAGAATGATGTGTCATGAACAGACTAATTGCATATAAAAGGACTGCTCCTGAAGTGGGCAGTGTGTTCCTGTAAGTGCTTTAAATGCCCCCCAGAGATGCAGTTTGATGCCGCCATTTGCATTATCAATGAAGAGGTAGTTTGCTAATCAAGAAGGGAGTATAAGCCCAGTCTTGACTCAAATCTCCGCACATTCCAACATATCAATGGCTAAATTAGTGAAACCCTTTCTTAGGTTTAATTTCTCTGCTCTTGAAATGTAATGTTGATTCTTGGGATGGGATTGTCCCGGTGTACTGATGCTGCCACGACCCAAGAACACGTGATGGGATGGAGTTCACATGAACTACTGTGCTGTTATCATTATTGCTGATAAATACCAGCTTCCTCCCTGACCATTCAGAGAAGGCCATTTCCAAAGCACTCAGGCCAGTCTTCAGCCATCCCAGCCCTCCTTTCTGCATTAAGCCCCTCCGAGACTTAGTGTCACTAGCATCTCCTGTCGCCTCATCTTGCTGTAGTGTATTTTCTTTCTATAACGTCTGGCTGAGCCAAAAATAGCCTCAGGAACAAATCTCCAACCTAACTTTCATATGTTGGCATGACATTGAAATAACCCAAATCCTAAATACAGAGATTAGGGCCCATGGGGTTTGAATCCTGCGGAAATTTTGGACTAACATGATCTGGGTGTTCAATTGGTACCTCCAGATTACCTCTGCTTGATCCAGAAAGCCCCATTCCTGTCTCTCCCCAAACCCTGCCCACTCACAGAGCCTCTGAACAAAGAAAAGGTGCCCAAAAGCCCTATTCTGCATTCCCTGCCACTATTGCGATTTCCTTCCGTTAATCCAGCAGCCCAAGTCCCCACCTAGGCTTTCAACTTTTGACCCTCCTTGGGCACAAACCCAGCTTGTGGCACACATGTCATCACCCCTCGCCTACAAGCTGTATAAACTCCCTGCAACTCTGGGGCAGGTTCTTCAGTTCCAGAGATCGAGGCAGGAGAAGCCACTCGCCAGAGTTGCTTTGATCAAATAAACCTGTTGTTAAACTTTTTCAATTCGGCTTGATCTGGCTTACTTTGTCAGCAGGAAAACCTACTATCGGGGTGCAGAAAACTTATTACTGGGGTCCATAGAGTGGGTTCATTGCTCCAGAGAAAACAATGCACCATGCTGTGAGACTGGACACTAGGGGAATACAGAGCTCACAGAACAGGGAAACCCAATGTCCCTGTTCTTCTGAGCTCACCGTGGGGTGGGTGGAATTACAGGGAGGAAAACTGTCCCAAGAAATGGGTAAAGTGCCAGCACTGCAAGTAAGGATCTGAATTCTGCCCCCCCCCCCAAAACCACATAAAGAGCCAGGCATGGTGTTCCACACACCTGCAATGTCAGCACTGGGGAGGCAGAGACGGGAGGATCCCCAGTCTCTCTCGTTTAGCTAAAGCAGCAAGCTCAGGTTTAAGGGGAGACCCTGTCTCCAAATCGAGGCAGAGGTAGGTAGAGGAAGACACCCAACATCAACCTCAGGCCTTCACATGCATGTGCACACACAAGCATGCAGAGATATGTGCAGAGAGAGATGTTGGAAGTGCACACTGGCACACATGTGGTAGGGAGATGTTTGAGACTGCTTATCAATTTCTCTGCTCCCTGGAAATTTAAATAGCATGGCCTTGCCCAAGGTCAGAGCTAAAAAATCAAGAGACTAGCTAACTGAACCTAGTAACTTTCCTCTCTAGGTTCCGGGACTTTTTAAAAATTCAGATTCTGCCCCTACTGCTGACAGACTTCCGAATCAAGGGTCAAACACAGGCCTTGCACTTGATAACACAGTTCTAGACCGAGCAGTTCTTCACCTTGAACTCTGAGAAGCCACAGTTTCCATCCTACAGAGGGCAATGAAGTAGTTATATAGAGACTTAGAACAGTGGTACCCAACCTTGCTAACACTATGACCCTTTAATACAGTTTTTCTCATGTTGTGGTGACCCCAACCACAAAATTATCTCATTGCTACTTTATAACTGTAATTTTGCTGCTGTTATGAATCGTAATGTAAATATCTGATATTACAACCGCAAAGGGCTCAAGACCCACAGGTTGAGAACCACTTAGAAGCCTATGTGTTTGAGTAGTTTAACCAGAAATGCTTTTCTGCTGAAATGGGTGGGGCGTTTCTGCATGATGTGTGGAACTCAGCAAGCTACCTCACACTCAGGACCTTCTGAGGACAAATGAACCCCGCCTCAGCTTTATCATCTTGACCCCAAGTTTCAAAGCAGAGTATATAAACAAAGTCAGGCTTCCCGGCACACTTGACTTCACTCAAAAATTTTTTAAAATGTTTAATAGTGGCCAAGTCTAAAATCTACTGGGAAACTACATAGTAAAGCTATCTTTATTTCTGCTACGTTTTAATAAGTCGATAGGTTCCTCATACAGGATCTATCCCTGCTGATGGTGACATGACCCTGTGGTTCTAGTGTTGCTGTCTTTTTAGAAGGGACACACCACCTCCAGGCTGCTTCTGGTCCTAGCTCTTCCTGCTTCAGGAAGAGCTAGCAAGTCTTAGCCCTAAACAGGAAACAGTTGGCTCTCTTGGCGAGCTATTATCAGAATGCAGCAGAACCGTGGTATTTAAGAAGAGAGTGCAAGGGCCAGCAGCCCCTGGAGCCTGTGCTTACCGATATGTTTCAGAACTGAGAAGTCTCTGTGCACTATGTGGCCATGACCTCCTCCTCTTCCTCGGTCCTAGAGCAGGCAGAACTCTGGATTCTCATGCTTCCTGGACATCCATCAGCCCAGGATTCTCTATAAACAAAGGATACTGTGAGGATTAGGTCAGCAAATACATATTTGCACATTTTACCCACAACACCACCTGTTTTGTTAGTACTGGAAACCTGACAGGACCTAGAATCAACAGAGACACGCCTCTGGGTAGGGCTGTGATGGAATTTCTAGATTAGGTAATGTAGGCTAGAAATTCCACCCCAAAGCAGACAGTCTGGGCTTGGGTCCTAGACTGGGTGCATAACAAGGAAAGAGCAAGCCGAGGCAGGAGCCTCCGTCTCTCTTGGCTTCCTGACCACTGACAGAAGGTGGCCAACTGCTTTCTGCCACCATTCTTTCCCTGTCAGGATGGGCTGTACACCCCCAGACTGTAAGCCACTTTTGTCACCAATGAGAAAGGCAAGTTGTCCATCACCCAGCATGTGGCTCCTGCTTCTGCTCTTCTCTGTCACAATAACAATGAGATTGAACCCTCAAATGACCCTACAGAACTGACATCCAAGTTGGTTAAAAAAATAAAATAAAAGCCTATGGCATCCTCCATGCTGGGGAATAGTGGTGTAAGACTCCACTGAATACAGGGAGACATTTCTGTTGCAGCCGGAACCTGCAGAAAGGTTCCCTCAAGGTCGCGTGTTCCCTCAACGTGGACCTCACCATCCTTTGTCGTAGATGCTGATGAACTGCGGTGAACTGCGATGACTTTAGGAAGGGCTGTGAATGTGAGATCCGATTTCTGCTTGGAGCCCAAGGCTCCCAGTGAAGTGTGAACATGAAGAGGCAACAATAGGGGGTGAGATATGCTAAGAGCATTGCACATGCATTGATATTCAATAAAAACCCTCCCAGCTATAATTATCACATTTTTGCTAATATTGAGATTCTGGATGTCAGATTTAATATTTGAGTAAACCAATTAAGAAATGTTGTTTCCTCAGCTTTGACAAACAGTCTTGCTGGGAGTTTTAAATGTGCTTTTTTGGGTGCTTGCTCTTTTTTCTTTTTCAGCTTGCTGTCACGTCATTTTTGAAACAGTCTCCGTTAGCCCAGGTTGGCTCCATTGAGTAATCAAAGATGACGTTGAACTTTTGATCCTCCTGCCTCTACCTCTGAAGTGCTGGAATTATAGGCACGTATCACCACATCTATTTATTATCTATTTATTCAGTCCAGGCACTGAAACCCAGGACTTCCTAAACACTAGGCAAGCTTTCTGCCAACTGAATTACACCCCATTCCCCAAATGTGCTCAAGAACACAAGTCAGGGGTTGAGACTGAAACAGAACTACACAACTAATCTACATTTTCTTTCTTTTTCAATAGTCTACTTTAATTTTATGCGCATTAGTGTTTTGCCTGCATGTAGGTGTGAGGGTGTTGAATCTCCTGGAAATGAGGGATAGACAGTGATGAGCTACTATGTGAGTCCTGGGACTTGAACTCAGGTCCTCTGGAAAAGCAACCGGTGCTCTTAACTACTGAGCCAGCCCTCCAGCATTTTCTATGAGGGAGTTTCGAGAGTCTCACTCCTGCTGCTTTGACTTCTCCAGTCTTCCCATGACTCGCACCCCTAGCTCCCTTTGCATTTTTCTAAGGGTGCCATCCTCAGACGCTGTTATTGTGCCTTTTCAAGCAGGTGCCAGATGACTGTAGCAGTTCTCAACCTGTGGGTCACAGCCCCCAAAAGACCACTGGAAAACATAGACATTTACAGTACTGTTTATAACAGTAGCAAAATTACAGCCATGAAGAAGCAATGAAATAATAATTTTATGATTGGGGGTCACCACCTGTGAAGGACTATACTAAAGGGTCGCAGTGTTAGGAGGGTTGAGAACCACTGGTCTAGATGGAATCACCTCTTCAGATTTCCTCTTTGACTGTGTAGTGCATCCAGACTCAAATTGTCCCGCTCCATAGGGCCACTGTCACATTCTAATAGAGAAGTGCTTCATCATGTGTTACAGAACAAGATGGAATCTTCTCTAAGAAGCTTGGGGATCAGAGCGCAGGAAAAGATTAATTTTTATGCACCGAGTCATTACGGAGGGAGAAGGAGTCACTAGACCGCTGGAGAGGCTTTCTCATCTAATGTCAACACAGGGCCCGTGCGCAGAGGACCGTGGGCTCAGTCCTCAGATTTGTTTTTACCTTTAAAGTGCTCGGATCTAGGTCGTAAGCTTGTTTACACATAGTTCAGGTTTCTGAAAGAGCCTCCTTTTCAAAAAGACATCATTTTCCCGGGATTTAGGTACGTCTGAAAATATTTTGATTGTTCCTACTCCATCAAAATGCAGAGCCACATTTCAGACTGTATTGAAATAAAAGGGAAAGTAACCACCACGCTTTTCCCTCCCCTCCTAATCCAGCAGCTCTGCAACTAATGATTCTAGTTCATCCTGATGATGTAGATGTCAGCATGTGTGCACGATCTTCTCGTCTGTCTCTTTTGTTTCCTGATACTATGTGATACATGGTTTTCCAAGCCTTTACATAGATTTTGTCATGCACACATGCCAATTGATCAAGTTCTTTCACGGCTAAGCATTTGGGCAACTTCTGGTTTGTTCTACACACACACACATACACACCTGTAAACTGGTACAGAATTCTGAAGTCTTCATTAGATTTAGGCAAACAATTTGTTTTTGAGATACAGTTTCACTGTGTAATCCAAGATGGTCTCAAACTCATGATCCTCCTGCCTTAGCCTCCTGAAGGCCGGGATTGTACACAGGTTTAATTAGTGAAATACACTAAGTTAGTTTCTTAGTTTGCTTCTCTGTTGCTGTGATAAACACCATGACCAAAAGCAACTTGGAGAAGAAAGGGTTTATTTCAGCTTGCCACTCTGTGGTCACACTGCGTCACTGATGGATGTCAGGACAGGAACTCAAAGCAGGAACCCAGAGGCAGGAACTGAAGTAGAGGCCGTGGAGGATGTTGCTTACCGGCTTGTTATCCATGGTTTGCTCAACCTGCTTTCTTTATACCAGGACCCGCTGTCCAGGGTTGGCTCCACCCACTGTGGGCTGAGCCCTTTAGAATCAGCTATTAATCAAGAAAATACCTCCACAAATTTGTCTTGTGGCCAATCTGATGGAGGCATTTCCTTAATTGAGGTTCCCCCTTCCCAAATAACTTTAGCTTGTGTTAGTTGACAAAACATTAACCAGGTCACAGGAAACAAGATTACTAGTTCTCGGTCAGTATAGATGGCCAAGGTGACACTCTGTGCCAGTTAAAGTCTCTAACTCCCCATGGACAGCACATGATGCCAAGGGTATTCACACAGCCTAAAACCCTGCAGTTGGCAGGTGTGGTGGTATATACCTTTATCCCAGCACTTAGAAGGCAGAAGCAGGTGGCTGTCCTTGAGTTTGAGGCCAATTTGGTCTACATAGAGCAATGGTTCTCAACCTGTGGGTCGCAACCCCTGAGGAGTTTCATACTATATGTCCTGCATACCAAATATTTTACATTACAACTCATAACAATAGCAAAATTACAGTTATGAAATAGCATTGAAAATTATGATTGGGGTCACCACAGCATGAAGAACTGTGCTAAAAGGTCGCAGCTTTAGGAAGGTTGAGAACCACTGATAGAGAGAGTTCTAGGCCAGCCAGGGCTAAATAGTGAGACCGGATCTATACACAAATAAGTAAATGCATAAATAAACAAACAAAACCCTGAAACCAGAAGAGATTTGGGGATGTTTGGGCTGCCAGGCTCCTTTTCTCTTCCTCCCCCTCCTCCCCCTCCTTCTCGTCCTTCTCCTTCCCCTTCTCCTCCTCCCCCTCCTCCTCCTCTTCCTTCTCCCCCTCCTCCTCTGCACATGCAGATCCTGGCAAAGGAGAAGACACAGCGGCTGAGAACTGCACAGGGCAACCGAAGAGTAGCCGTAGGTAAAACAGGTAGACACCATACCTGTAGTCCTTCCAGCTGAACCAGAAGGATCCCTTGAGTCCAGTTTGAGGCCAGTCTGGGCACTATGGTAAGATCCTGTCTGCATAAAATAAATAAATGTAAATAAAATCAAAGCATGTAACTCTACTAAACCGAGCATCACGCATTCCCTCTCCAGGTGCCCAGGCCCTCTCTGGCTTGTCTCTTTCCTCCTTATCTCTCCCTTCCTTGAGCTGAATGAGCAAAAGATATTGTAAAAAAAAAAATTAGTGAGCAATAAACAAAAGCAATTCCTCATTGAACAGGCCCAACCTTGGAGATTAAACTTCTTGAGTGTGAGGCCCCCAATACCTGGACTTCATTCCGGTCTTCTTTATTCCTTCATGACATAGTAACCACTAGTCACAGATGTCCAGGCAAAATACACTAATCACTCACCTAATCAAGGTTCTTCAGAGTCCCCAACTCACAGGCAGTGGCGACTCCACTCCATAGCTACTCACTCCCACAGGATTGTGTTCATATCAGCTGCTGCCACAGGTTGTAGGGAACTGGGTTTTGAACCACGAGTCTGCTTTGTGGCCAGCGAAACTAACTTCTGAAGAAGGGCGGTGTCATGTGACCAGACCCAAACAATCGCTCCTTACAAACAGCCATGACAGGTGTCTGCTTTGGTTTGCTATGTTGCCTTCCCCACTTCTGTGGGTGGGAGAGATCCACCCTACAGACCTACTGGAAGATAAATCCACTGCCTACACTAAAGTTCCAGTTGGCTCAGAGTTCCTGATGCTGTAGCTCAGTGGGAGCCAGGTGAGTCAGTTACAAGCACTCGGTGACTTTACTTCCATCGTAATTTTAGCTGAGATTTCCTTCGCTAATAGTTTTATTTTGGATATCTGAGCAAACTGCACCAGGTTTTGTAAAGGTGACTAAATATACCTGGGTAGAATTGCAAAATGAGTTTAACCAGAAAAGCAATATAATTTTATGCACAGTCATCAGTGTTCCTAAAAATAGGGAGATGAGGTGCAGGGGTGGAATAACTGTGACCTGCTCATTTGGAATGGCGCTGTACAGCTGTGGCTGACATCTGCAGAGCCAGCTGCTGGCACACTGTAGCATCTCCGGCTGTACACTGAGGGTAATATCTGGTTCCTTTGACAAAAA